AGAGAGAGAGAGAGAGAGAGAGAGAGAGAGAGAGAGAGAGAGAGAGATACAGAGAGAAAGAGAGAGAGGGAGGAAGGCAGGGAGGGAAGGAGAGAGAGAGGTATTTAGAAGATAATATAAAAAGAGCTGCTAGCATCATCTTTCACTTGATCCAAGCAGTATAGAGAGATATGTCTCCTGTTTTGGGGTCAGAGATGGATTCTAGTCCAGGCTTTTGGCTTAAAACTCAGTACTAGGATCCTACCTGATGACTCTTGATGTTGAGAAGAACCTTACAACCTATAACCATAGTTCACAATGCACAGCTCACCATCTTTAGATTTGGGCTAGACCTTGAGCTTGGATTACATTTATGTACTGTAAAAGTGGGAACAAACCAACAGCAAACACTTACCAAGCTGAAATTAGGGTTTTAATACCCAGCAGCACAACACAACCAACACACACACACACACACACACACGTGCGCACACTCTTGAGCGTGCGTGCACACACCATGGAATTAATAATCTGAAGGGGGAAAAACTCTAGAATTTCTGGAAAATAAGCATAAAACTAAATTTAAAAAATAGGAATAAACAACTACTCTTTCAATACTTAGATATCATAATGCACCAAGCATCGTTCAAGAGCAACCTATTATTCACATTTCTTTTGTTCTGCTCTTTACTTTTCTAAATATTTCTCTTCCTTTAACATCTTTGAAAATATGCAGATCTTATAATTTATAGTTTATAGTAATTTAATGTTTAATGAGTTGGCTTTTTTCTTTCTGCTGCACGAGATAAAAGTAAAGTTCAAATTTAATAACATACTATACTCAATCACATGCATTATATATTTCTACCAGTATACAAGAAGAAAAAGCTAGATAGCAAACTCAAAATAATTTTACCAACAATGGATGTTAACTATTGTAATTGACAATGCTTAAATTTTGTGGTAATAAAGAAATTAAGTTTATAATGGAGGTCAGCATTTGATATGTGATTTAAAATATGATTTTAGGTAGATAAGCATATGAAAGCTGCCAAGTTTATGGATAATGATATGAAAATATATAAGTGAATAAAAAAGAAACAATGCCAAAATATGAAACTATCACTTATATCCAAAGAAAATAGGAGAATAAATTCAAACTCATTAACACTTAGAAGGTGGGAATTAACGAGTGAAATGGGCACTTAGGAGCTGTTTTGATAAAAGCTTTACTTGGGCTCACAGAGTATCTAGAAGCTCTATAAAAACTTGGCATCCATGGGTATAGTCTATATCTTGTTCCTTTCTTTGGTTGAAAGCACAGAGATCATTTAATTGTCCTTAACATTTCCTCTTCTGTCATCCTGGACTCTGGGGCAGGCATCCCCTCCAAAACTCACAAAACAGGAGTTCTCTCAGCAAGTGAGAATAATTATCCATGATGCAGAGGCTTACATCTCTGAAGCAGAAAGAATGATCATGTAGGACCTAGACTGATCTCAAATACTGACAAGACTTCTTAAGAATAACTTGTACAACCAGAACTTAGAGAATGATCAACCAGACCATACTTTGACCAGGACTGCATAATTATGTATTCCTCTTGTTCCTTCTGCTGAATTCTTTCTCTATTTAAGGGCAAAATGGACTTGGGGGTTACTGGACCATATTCTCTGTTCTTCCTGATGTGGCTACACTGAAATTAGCCCTGTGTGTGTGTGTGTTTTTCACTCTTGACTAGTTTCTTGAATTGGTATGTTGGGGACAGATAGCCAAGTTGGGTTTGCCATTGTTGAGGTTTTTACTCTAAACCTTATGATTACCTAACTAACACTTTATACTCACCACTTTGGTCCACAATAAAATTGTGAAAATTGTCAAAAGTTCACTCTTCTGTGGGAAACAAGGTAGACATTTAATACTGAATGAATAACGTGGTATGGTTAATTCTTCTAGCAACTTGGGAACATTTCTATAAAGTATCTTTAAGAGTGAATTTAAAAAATCTGAAGTGTGTATAGTCAGTATCTGTTTTTCCAAACAGATACAAATGTTTTACTCTATACCAAAACACAGGAAAACATAAATAAATATATTAATTACAGCATTTGGGAGGGTTAGAATGAAACATGGAAGTCAGCTAAAAGGCTCAGATTCTTTGTAGATGTTTGAATGTTTTGTTTCACAGTTCAGAAAACAAAAACAAAATAAAAGTCAGATATGTGTGTTGTGCAGTAGACTTTGAATAAAACTGTGAAAGATAAATATTTAAAACAAAACATTAGATGAAAAAAAGGCTTCAAAAGATATAAACTTGCCTTTATAGTGTATGAAATTGGTATAGTGGTGCATGCCATTAATCCCAGCACTCTGGAGGAAGAAGCAAGGGGTTCTCTGTGAGTTCTTGCACAAACTGGTTTACAGAGTGAGTTCCAGGACAGCAGAGCTATGTAGAGACACTGTCTCAAAAAAGCAAAAAATAAAATTTATAAATCTTGTTATTCTACTTTAGGCTTGCTAGCAGTGTGATGTTTTCTTTAATATTTATCTGGGTAGATATATGTATTAACAGAAAGCTATACTAGCTAGATAATAGCAAGCAGAGTGTTAGTTTTAAATACTGTAGAGCAGTCATACTCTTTAAAACTGCATATATATTTAGTAGAGGCACATTTGTGGAGGTCAGAGGTCCTTCCACCATCATCTGGGTATCCAGAATCCAAGTCAGCTTGCTAGACTTGGGAGGAAGGTGCTTTACTTGCTAAGCTATTGCTCAAGCCTAATATTCTTATTAATCAGACAATATGTATTTGGTCAGCATCCAAGAACTATCTCCTGGAAATCTCAGCTTTAGGCTACTGAAGGGAACTATTATTTTTTCATACAGTGTGAAGAACTTTATCTTCATGGAGTATGATTGAAACTTTTTGTCATAAAACATAATATCCACACATTGATTTTTTAATGTGTGTGTGTATTCTAAGAATCTTTGTCTAAAAAACTCTTAGCATTGAGATGTATAAGAGTACAAGATATGTCCTGGAGGATAAAAAAAACATACCTCCTTAGTTATATTTGTTTCTAGTTTTGAAACACTGAATAAAGATGAATGATAATTTTGAACTAAGAGTATTTGCTTCTCATATTGCCATATATGCTTTGTATTTTGCATAAATATCTAAAATTGTTTTACAGATAATTTTTAAAGACCATGTTTACATAAATAATGCAAGCTCTTTTAAGAGTATATAAAAAAAGAAAAAAATATGGGACTACTGTTTTGTGATAAGGCAAAGGGAACGGGAAGGAGGTGAAGCTTATTTAAAATACATTTGAGAAATGTACACATTGTGCATACAATTCTGCATCTGAGAGGCTAATATCAAGAAGATGAGCAATCAACAAAACTTACTTATAAATCGCGTCCAAACAGAAAATAGAAGTGAGCATCAGGGCTTTTTTCTCATCCTATCTCCACTAGCCTTAAACAACCGGAAAGGCAGTTTTTGCATAAAGAGAACTCCGTGAGGGCATGGGGTAAAGAAAAAGCGAATTCCTGAAGGATAGAAAGCAGATGCAGTTGGGGGCTTTGAAGTGTAGAGTTGCAGGTGGGGGTGGGGAACCTGAACTGAAGGAGGAAATCCTTCACAGCTGTGGGAGAGGTGTTGCCGGCGCTCAGGGGGAGGGGGGGCGGGGCGCAGGTGGGGGAGATCCTGGCTCCTGATTTGGCAGAAGGGATGGGGACAAGAGCACATTCCCCAGTTTAGAACTGTGATGAGGAGTGGGAGAGGAGGTGGTGTTTAGCAGGAAGGGGCGGCCACTAGCGGGGCAGGAAGCTACGCTAGAAAAAGAGGGAGGAGACTGCAGTGGCAGCAGCGACTGCTGGAAGCTCTGAAGTGGCCCAGGTACTGCTGCCTCTGACACACGGGAATAAGGAGAGAAAGCTCAGCGCAGGGACTTCCTGGATGCTCCAGTCTTCTGCCCTGTGGCTTTCCTAGACAGGCTCTTGGCCTCAGCTCCTCCTTCACAAGCACTCATTTAGCTGCTCGCCTGCTGATCATCCTTTGCTCCGGGCTCGCAGCAGAGGCAACAGTCTAGTGTCCGATTTGGGCACGTGAGTGCTGCAAACCCAGACAGCGGGCAGGTGAGCACGGAACTGGGTGCTGGAAAATAGAAATGGGTTTCTGCTTGTCAGGAAAATTGGAAAGAGTGCTAAGATTTGAGCTGAAGGAAAACTCGGAACCGAGCTTTGGGGGGCGGGGCACGGAGCAAGAAACACGGGAGTCTTATACAAAGGTGGCCAGAAAGACAGATTCGTGGTAGGAGCTCAAAGGGAAATGGGGATGATTTGGAAGAAATAGAAAGAAGTAAGCGCAGACTTACTACAAGCATGGGTTTGGGCAGTAAGGGCAGGATGGAAAGCGGGAGCCAGTGGATAAGAGACATGGGAACTGCATGGAGGGATATAGAGATATGATATTGGGGCTACAAATAGGGAATGTGATGCTGGAGCGGGGTGGGGGGGGCAACTAGGATGACATTGGAGCCAGGAAATATACAGAGAACCAGCTGCCTCTTGCTTGGCTCTCAACAACGGCCACAACTTCCACAGCCATCTCTTCTCTAACTCTGTTGTGTAACCAAACAAGAGCCTGGAAAGAAGGTAATAATGCAGGCATGCATCCAAACATGTTTTGATATAGAATACTGCTACTGGACACATGCATATCATGCACAGGGACTTCATTGTCTAGAATGTTTCTCCCTAGCTCCTCTCCTCTTCTTACAGGTATGAAGAGTCCTCACAAAAATGCAGCTGCAAGAGAGCCAATGGGAGACACTATAGGCCACCACATTGGCTCTACAACCATCAAGAAGAAAAAGGCTGCTCACAAGAAGCAAAGGAGCGGACCTTCCTCCCAGTCCCGAAGGAACATCGTGGGCTGCAGAATTTCTCATGGGTGGAAGGAAGGAAATGAGCCCATAACACAGTGGAAAGGAACTGTTCTGGATCAGGTTCCTATAAATCCCTCTCTCTATCTGGTGAAATATGATGGAATTGACTGTGTCTATGGACTAGAACTTCACAGAGATGAAAGGATTTTAAAGCTTAAAATCCTTCCTGATAAGGTGTCCTTTTCTCGAGTCAGCGATGTACGCCTTGCTAATACCATAGTTGGCAAAGCAGTGGAACACATGTTTGAGGGTGAGCATGGCTCTAAGGATGAATGGAGGGGGATGGTCCTGGCCCAAGCACCTATCATGAACGCCTGGTTTTACATTACCTATGAGAAAGATCCTGTGTTGTACATGTACCAGCTTCTGGATGATTATAAAGAGGGCGACCTCCGTATCATGCCAGAGTCCAGTGCATCTCCTCCAGCAGACAGGGAGCCAGAAGGAGTTGTAGATGGCCTGATAGGTAAACACGTGGAATACACCAAAGAAGATGGCTCCAAGAGGACAGGCAAGGTCATTCACCAAGTTAAAGCTAAACCCTCTGTGTATTTCATCAAGTTTGATGATGATTTCCATATCTATGTCTATGATTTAGTTAAAAAGAACTCATAGGGTCAATTTTCCATAGTGTGGGGAGGAAAATGTGTACTTTGTTGATGTGCAAAAAAATGTTAATTTTTCAGTGTATTAAAAGCCTGAGGGTTTCTGAAAACCCAGAATGTTTGCCAACATCACTGCTGTTTTGTTCTGAAGAATACTAGTCTGTGGACATGACCTGTTATATGTAAAAACTTTGTCTTGTGTAAGAGATGAGTATGTTTGGTGGATGGGATATGAAGGAACAGCTGTCAATTTAACCTGTGAATAAAGTACCATTATTATTATAATCAGTCATCTAAAAATTGAATGGGTATTATCTGGTATGGTCTGGGGGAGGGAAAGGAATTAGAGATGGGATGGGGGTTTGTTCAGAGGAGGCGACTGCTTGGAAAAGTGAGAAAGAAAAAAGAGGGTTTCTTAGAAGATGCATGGTGTTCACAGGAAAAACGTAATTGATAGGGGGCTGAAGGATAACAGAAAGTGAGATCATCAGTCTTAGAGGAAAGTAAAATAAATGGAGTAGAGAGGAGCACAACAAAGTTTTGATGAGGGCCAGAGTTACGTTTAAAAATTATCAGAGAAGAGGCTCAGGGGAAGACTGACTGTCAGTAATAAAAAATACCTTAAGGCATGTTTCTAGAAAGCGTTATGAGCAGGGACCAAGAGGGTTGGGAAAGCCTCAGAGAAAGTTGTACTTCTGGCTACATCCACACTGACCACTTTGGCTCTGCTCACAAAATAATTATCAGTTGCTGAAGAAAGCAGATGTAGTGGGAGCTTCTGAGATGGGCATTTTGACCAGGAGAACTCAGACTAATGAATCAAGAGCCAGGTTTTCACCAATCAGTTACTTGTCATTTCAGGAATCTGTGTCACACCTGCCAAGCAGAACCTCAGCTTTCAAACCCAGACACAGTAATGGTGCTTCTGAGGCACTGGCTTGTGGGCTGTCTCCTTGTGTTTTCAGGGGACTCAGTATAGTAAACCTAGGACCTCAATGTCATTATTCATTTCCCATTTTTTGAGTATACAATACTTCTGAAGAATGAGGCTTACAGAATTAAGAGATGCTATCATGAATTTAGAACATACTTTATCTGGGTAAAAAAAAAAATGAAATCCTGCTGAGCTGCTCTAAGAGTCCTATCAGTGTTAATCCTCGTGTTTTAATATCCCTTACCACTCTCCGGGGAGGCATCTGACAATTGAACCTAAAGTCCATCCACGAGATGAAAAGAAACAAGGCTATCCATTCTTATGTCACAGCTGCCTGTAACCACAGCTGGCTTCACTTACTGAACCAGCATAGAGAGGCCCAGAGTCCTAAGTAGCCCCTACTCTGGAGAGACCTCTCCCACAAAGCCTCTAGCCCCTGACACCTTTTTTTGGTACCCCATGGCCAAATTATGGCCCCTTGAACTCATGTTGAACAGTAATGGAAGTCCATGCAGTTGTTCATTTGCAGATGATGTGCAAGCTATAGGCAATAGGAGTGGGTATTGTGACTTTGTGTAACTAATTCCTTCAACTGCATATTGTGATGTGGAGGAGTTGTAGCTGGTGAGCAGAAGAAACAGCAACCTCAGTAAAGTCCCCCAGAACTATGGTGTCCAGAACACAGGTCTCTATCCAGTTCCCCTTTACCCTGTCTTACAGAATCTTTCAAAATGTGTCCTTAAATTTCTGAAGCCCCACCCTTAACCTTCTACCTCAAAGAAAGAATGTTGTCCATTCTGTCTATGCTGGAGATGCATAGATAATAGAGTAAGCAAGGAATCACTGGAGACTGAAAGAACATTCTAGAAAATGCTGGGCAGAGGTTGAATGCCTGAAGACTTACACATGACAAGCTGAACTCACCAGAGCAGAGTTCAGTTTTCCTTCCTATGTGACATAACTTTGTCTAGCCAATACCAGCAGATTACCCAGGAGCCACTTCTATCTAGCTTCTATATTTTTTCTGGCCTTTGAGTTTCATTATTTCCTATATAAAATAAGAGTTTTCATTTTTCTAAGAGTTTACAAAATGTATATCCATTTCTGGAGTGCCCTGAAAACCAAATGAAAAAACAATGATTAGGACTCACATTCCAACAAAGACGAAAGTAGTAGCTGGTAGAGTGGGAGGAAGGGTTCAGCCATGTTTAGTCTCAGAGTGTTCCTGATGCCCACTTCTCCAGTTGTTCTTTTCACTCTGATAAAACACACAATTGTTTCCTGGAGGTATCTGCATTTTGTAAATTTGAGGCTAAACCCATGGAAATCTGCTCTCTCAGTCTATTTGTTTTATCTTCTTCTCATAAATATTTACTTTGGGTGGGCTCTGGCACTTGTCTAGACAAGCACAGATGTAGCAAAGAACAAATGAAATAAATAATAAAAGGTTCCTAACTTCTTGTGACTTTCATTTTAGTGTGGAAGCTAGGCAGTAGCCAAGAAAAGTACATAATAAAGCTTCATTAGCCATGTGCTAAGGAGGAAAATGACAAAGCAAGGGTTAAGGAAATGAAATTGTAGAAAGGAATATCTTTGAGAGAGATGGTAGCCAGGGAAGGCCACATGGAATGCTTGGCTTTTGGGTACAAACATAAAGGTAGTTGAGAAGTGGCATGGCCTGTAGCAGCCAACAGGGAAGTGTGTATTCCAGATAGACTGATAACAATTGCTCCTTAGCCAGAGAAGTCCTGGTATGCTTGAGGAGAAGCAGGCAGAATGGCATTGGGGGTAGAGTTGAGAGAGGTAGATAGAGAACTGTGGGGTGTGATACATAAGAAGTCACAGTGGCTGAGGAGTCAGAAAGTCTAGAGACCTGCAGGTTACAATCTCTACAGTGGAATTTTATTATTACCTGAGTGAAATGGGAAGACCTTCAGGGATTCAGAGCACAGGAATATCATGATTTGTGTTACATCTTATCAAGATTAGCTTGGCAATTCCAGAGAATGTTCTATAAACACTTGGGAATTAGAGCAGGGAAATAAAATATACCAGTAGAACATAGCAAATGAACTAGAAACACATTTACACACGGGAAACCTCAGTCATAGACCTGACATTTCAAGTCATAATAAACATTATTCTCTTCAGTAAGTGGTGCTAGATTAATTTGTTATCCATATAAAAAAATAAAATATCTTTGTACCTTATAAAAATCCATTTCAAATTGATCCTCTTAATACCCAAATAAGAAAGGGAATATACATAAAACATTTAGAAGGCATTGTAAGAGAATGTTTAATTTTGATCTTTGAAAGTAGCTAAATACTAAAAGCCCCAAATGTACAAATTAAAATGAAGGCATATGCCAGGTGTGTTAGTGTACACCTTGAATTTCAGCATTAAGGAAGCAGAGGCAGACATCTCTGTGAATTCAAAATTAGGCTGGTCTATATAGTTAATTCCAGTTCAGCGAAAGCTAAATCATGAGACTCTCTCAAAAAAAGTTGTGATGAATATAATTAAAATAAGAATATAAAAGTTTCTACTTCCAAAGGTATCACAAAGTTGGCAAAATCAGATTTGGGTTCAAACTGAGACACACACAGTTGAAGAAATAAGACAAATAAGTCACAGAAAACTGGACAAATGTTGTGAGTAGACAGTAGTTCAGAAAAGCAGTGGACTATACAGTCAGCATGCATACATTCCCTTAATAAGCCACTTAATTAAAATGTACAATTTGTCTTATTACAACATTAAGGTCCTGAAAGTCCTATTTTTTCTTCATTTATTATTACTAATACATTCCGTGTACTTATAAAAATGAATACTTAGAATATAGAACAGAGCTATATATGTTTGTTGATTATATGAGTCTCATTAAGAGGCAAGAAAATGGAAATTAAATTAATATATGATCTATGACACACAATTAGATAAGCAACATGATAGTTGACAGTATGCATTAGCTTATAGATAGAGAAATCAAAAACAGTGTTGGTGGGAGTTTAAGTTAGGAGAAATTTGGTGTCATAGTATATTAAAAGGCTATACACTACCACTGCCTTCATCCATATATTGGTAGAAGTCAGTTCTGTCTCTCCCATCTGGTAAATAAGACAGTGACTGTTCTCTATTTTAGTCTATCTTTTGGAAATGTTTGAATAGCAAACAGCTTTGAAGACAGAGATAATGTCTCAGTGTGAAATAAGCAAATTTATAGAGGATTTGGATGATAAGAATGCTCTCGTCTGGAGCAAGAGGTAGAAATTCTTACAGGAAAAAAAATAAAAGGTCTCTTTCAATAGAAAGTAATTGAAATAAAGTTTTCTCTCTGAGGAAACATAGTCAACAATAAAACAAACAAAAAAGATCTTTATTGCTCATTTAAAAGATAAAATAAGATAAATTTAAATTAAAAAAATTATGCAAAAGTCCAAATTGATGCTGAAAATTCACAGTAGATCACTGTCCAAAAAATTTAATTGTTTCTCTTTTAGTTCTATTATAGACATTATACCTGTAAGTATAGCCGGTTCATAAGCTTAAGGGATAATTTAGAATTTAACACAAGTGCTTCTCTAATTTTCAAAACTTCCACTACAGAGCTGTTTCAAGGTGTCCAAAAGAGGTACCCAGTGCATATGTGCTGACAAAGCAACAGATACATGTAGATGAGTTTTGAAGTAGCCTTGGGGCAACACTGGAAATCAGAAAGATAAAAGTAGAATGAAAGATCAAAGATTGAGAAATGTGGATAACGGCACATTTCATCCAGGTTGTACAACAGATGAAGAAGTCTCTCCTTTGCAGGGGTAAAGATGGAAAAGTCCAACAAATTGTGAGCATGGGTGTTGGCAATACTAGCTAATGGAAAGTTTAGAAGGCATATAGCCTTGTGATCTACTTGAATAAATAACCTTAAATCAGCATGCTTTGGAAAAGATTATCACCCATCTTCCAGCAAACTTGCAGGGAGTGATAGCAGGGAGCCATTTTGATATGGGAGCTGTGTCTGAATCTGAATTGTTTTAGGGGTCAGAATTCCCTGCATATTTCCATTTATGGAATATCACAGATACTTCATTTTGTTCCCACTGGGTAGCTGCCTCACACATCAAATCTGGCTCAGTAGAGACTCAAACTCTCTAAATGCCCTGCACTGAAAGGAGACATTTATAATAACACAAAGAAAAGCAAGTTGCATATCTCAAGAACTAGATAATGGGGAAGGAGCTTGCCCTCTGAGACCAGTCATGCTTGTAGTTCTTGTCACTCCTGCACAGTATAGTCCAGAACTCACAGAATGGGAAAAGAACCTACTTCTGGT